AGTCGGGGCTTATGCCTCAAGACAGTAGAAACTCATGAGAGAAATTACCCGACTCATAACTTGGAATTGGCGGCAATTGTGTTTGCTTTGAAAATTTGACGTCATTATTTGTACGGTGAGTGGTGCCATATTTATACAGATCACAAGAGTTTAAAGTATTTGTTGACTCAAAAAGAATTGAACCTGAGGCAGAGAAGATGGATCGATCTTTTATAATATTATGATGTAATCATCGATTATCATCCAGGAAAAGCTAATGTGGTAGTTGATGCACTTAGTCGAAAAACTTTTGCAGCTCTACGAGCTTTGGATGCACGTATGTCAGTAAAGGAAGACGACGCATTAATTGCTAAGCTTAAGCTAAAGCCGATGTTTTTGGATCGGATAAAAGAACACCAAGGATAAGATGGAGCATGTTTGACTAAAATTGCTCAAGTAGAAAAAGGTGAGGCTAAAGGCTTCGAAATGAGGACTAATGGACGTTTATATAATCGTGGAAGACTTTTCATTCCTGATAATGATGAACTAAAGAAAGATATTCTTTCTGAGACACATTATAGTCCTTTGACGATGCATCCAGGCGGGAATAAGATGTATCAGGATGTAAAGAGCCGTTATTGGTGGCCTGGCATGAAAAGAGTTGTATCATAGTTTCTTTCAAAATGTTTGACATGTCAGCAAGTGAAAGTTTAACATCAAGTGCCTTCTGGATTGCTACAACCGACATTCATTCCCGAGTGGAAATGAGAAAGAGTTGTAATGGATTTTGTTTCAGGGTTACCTTTGTCAACCGATGAAAAGGACTCAATATGGGTAATTATAGATATATTGACCAAGACAGCTCACTTTATTCTAGTTCGGGTGGATTAATCGATGGATAAATATGTGGAATTGTATATAAAAGAGATAGTTTGGCTGCATGGAGTGCTTATATCGATAGTGTCTGATCGAGACCCAAGGTTTACTTCAAGATTCTGGAAGTCTTTACACGAGGCTTTGGGTACTCGATTGAATTTCAGCACAACTTTTCATCCGCAAATAGATGGATAGTCAGAGTGAACAATTCAGGTATTGGAGGATATGCTAAGGGTATATTTGATTGAATTCAAATGATCATGGGAAAGGTATTTGCCTTTAGCAAAATTTACTTATAGTAATTGTTACCAATCGAGTATTAAGATGGCTCCGTATGAAGCCTTGTATGGGAGAAAATGCATAACACCTTTAAATTGGTTTGAATTAAAAGATCGAGACCTGGTTGGCCCCGATTTAATGGAAGAAATGGAAGATAAAGTGAAAGTTATCCAGGATAACATTAAGATAGCCTCGGATCGCCAAAAGTCTTATGCTGATCTAAAAAGAAAAAAGATTGAATTTCAAGGAGATAAAGTATTTCTAAAAGTATCGCCCTAGAAGAAAGTAGTACGGTTTGGGTGCAAAATAAAGTTGAGTACGAGATTCATTGGACTTTATGAGATTTTGAAAAGGGTCGGACCAATATCTTATTAGTTAGCTTTGCCTCCCGATATGGATAAGATCCATAATGTTTTTCACGTGTCGATGCTCAGAAAGTACTGAATAGATCCATCCCATATCATCACACTTGAAGAAATAGAGATTCGACTAGATTTAACTGACGAGGAAGAACCATTGCGGATCTTGGCTCGAGAAAGCAAAGAGCTGCGTAACAGGAAGATTCTTCTAGTTAAAATACTATGGCAAAACCATAAGGTAGAAGAATCTACTTGAGAAAAAAGGACATGAGGAAACAGTTTCCACACCTTTTCGTATCAAGTATTTCTTAAAATTCGAGGATGAATTTTCTTAAAGGGGGAGAATTGTAACAACCCAAATATTGGGTCGGTGACCATAATGAAAAAAATTAAAATTTAGAGGATTTAATTTGAATAAATGGTAAGTACAAGAAATGAATTAGGAAATTTGGTTAAGACTAATTTGTAAGAACGGAAGAATGAAAGAGCATTTTGGTCCTTTAGGGGAAAATGGATTTAAAAGTTTATTTATTAGGGATATTTAAGAAGAGGAAAAGAGGAAAGTGGATAAGTTATCTTCTTTTTTGCTCGTCCCGTGCTCTCCCCCATAGCCAAAGGTAAGTATTATTCAAATTGGTTTTTCCTTATTTTTATGGGCTAGTTTTGAAACCTTAAGTGATATAGAAGCTTAAGGAAAGTTCAACGATGATTAAAACTAAGTGATTAGTGAATTATTTGAGATTTAAGAAAAAGGGTTTTTGAGTGATATGTTGAAATATGAGTTTTTTATTGAAGTTTACAACTAAATTTGACTTGTCAAAGAAGTAATTGAGAGATTAGAAGCATTGGTTGTGATTAAAAATGTGTATGAAAAAGTAGTGTGATTCTTGGGTTTGAGTGTTCTTTGAAGATTTTAGATGTTATAGGAAGATTAATGAAAGAAAGTTAGTTGGGTTTAGTAAATATGAGTTTAATGGTATTATAGGAGGTAAAAGTAAGAAATTTAAAAGAAATTTGGGTAAAAATCGAAATGAAAAATGGAAAATCTATGTAAGGGTATCGGTACTGGAAGAACAATATCGATACTATTGGTTTAAATTTGACGGAATTCGATGAACAATATCAATACTAATGCAAGTATCGATACTGTTGTGGGTATCGATACTAAGAGGAATGTATCGATACTATAGCTTCCAAAATGCAAAAATGGTATCGATATTGAAAGGAGTATTGGTACCATAGTATATATAAGTATCGATATCATAGTAGGGGTATCGATACTGCCGAGCCTGGAATTTTAAGATATGATGAATTTTAATAGAAATTGAAAATAATAGTACTTTTTAAGTATTATTAAAAGAATAAATGTTAGAAAATATACTAACAATTGTATAATATGTGTAATAATGGATGCTTATGTAGATTGTAACCAAGCTCCAGAGTCGAGCAAGAAAAAGGGCAAAGATAAAGTTGTCGAATAGCTGGACATCCTTAAAGCATACTAGTGAGGCATATCGGGGGAGTTCATTTATTGTACTTATATGAGATGAGGAAGACTCGCGATGAGTCAACCTCAAAGGTTTTGTTAAATGTATGTGTTACAGTATTTTGATATATTTTCATATGGGAATGATATTATGAATAAGTTTTAGAGTATGAACTGCTCTAAAATGAATAGATGAATGTTGTTCAATGGTTATCGATGTTGCATAAATAAATGTTTAAATCCGTGGATTTGACTTAAAAGCCCATCATATGTGCATTGAGAGTTATAGGTGCATTTCGACATACTTTGTGTATGATAGTATTGATCAATTTTGTTTAATGCATAACGGTGCATTTTTCGGCATAAAAGGTGACACCCATTGTATTCATAATGAGGTGAATTATCATTTCGTCATACTTCGTGTATGAAAGTTATTGATCGATTTTGCTTAACGTATAAAGGTGCATTTTCGACATAAAAGGTGCCACCCATGGTATTCATAATGAGTTGAATTAGCATTTTGGTGCAACACATGTACCTTGCATTCTCAATTGTCATACAATGGGCAAAATAAAAGATAATTGGAAAAATACGGATAGATAAGTATGTTGGGCATACTAAAAAATAGTTTCGATGACTATATGAAAGAAATTTGGTTTAACTGAGATGGTTTCTAAATGATTCTAATGAAGTATACAATTTATTTCGTATTTTGATAGTCATGATATACTAGTGGTTAAATTTCAGTTCATTTACATTATTAAGTCTCACTAAGTAAATACTTAGTATGTGGTGATTTCACATGTAGGAAATAGCAAAGACTAGCAGAGTAGGGAGTGCAGCAGAGATCATCAATCCAAGGTTGACTCATCAGTAACTGTAGGACATTTATGTCTTCTTTTGATAATTAGATGGCATGTATTTGAATTTAAGAAAATGCTCTGGAATGTATTAAGGTTATAATTTTGTAATATGTTACAACAAATGTTTTATTTTATATTAAATTGTTTTGTTTTATTTTCGAAACAAAATTTTATGGGTTTACAAATAAGAAAAATGCTTTTAAAAGCCATGTGACACTTGTGACTTGTGTATGAAAACATATACGGGAAATGGGTGTTACATACCTACGTACCAAACAACAAGTTGAATACTTGCTAACTAAAAACTTAAGCAGAAACATATTCAAGGAGCTTATTGGCAAGCTGGGTTTGATAAATATCTACACTCCAGCTTGAGGGGGAGTGTTAGAATTCCTAAGATTAAGGACAGAATACTTACCTTAGTCATAGGAGTTATCTTGTATAGTAGGATCTAATCTTAGTCTCTAATTCTTAGGAAGTTGCTGATTTTTAGGGATTGTTTCCTTATTTGTACTTAGCTCTCCTTATAAAGGTTGTAAATTAATTAATAAAAAGCAACAATCTTCTTTTTAAGTTTGTTCAAAATATAACAGAAGTAAATGTTGAACCAATCGGTAATAAAGATAAAGGGTGAACCAATATAGAAAAGAATGTAGACAAATGACTTTGTGAAAGAAATGCCAAAGAAACAAAGGGGTTGTATCATAGTTTTCTTCTATATAATCAAAATAATTTGATGTAGATAATTTTTGAGTGAATAATTGTATGGTTATGTGTGTAGAAATTTTTTATTTGTTATTGAAAATTTAAAATTTTCATTATGTTTCCAAAATATAAAACCCATGTGGAACATTTGTAATTTAGTATATTGATGTAGATAACTTTATGTGTATATATATATATATATATTAGTTTGTCCCATTTGAACACAAATCTTGGGTCCATCCTTGTTCTTCCTTGTACTTTCCCCAACAAGATGGCAAACATGATCATAAAACTTAATTTAGGAAACAATGTATTTTATGCATTTGTTACTACAAAAAAATTTGAGGCAATTTTTTTGTAGTTTATTGAAGTCCCTAGACTTGTGCTTTAAATTTGCAAGTCTGAAGATTCTTAAAGAGTGCATTGGTGTGATGAAATGGAGGTTCTTAATACCTGTGGTATTCTTGTAAGTACTGGAGTTGTTGCCTCAAGCTTGCTACCTCCCTTTGCCAAAACTATCAAGTACAATAAGAGTCATAAGTAAAAATCATATTCTTGAATGTGAAGTATTGTATTTTTAAAATGATGTAAAAAGAGGTACATAGTAGAACTTGGTAGATTAGTCTTTATTCAATGACATTATAATGTTATCTACTTGTGAGTTACATGGATTTAATGTACCAACCCAAGTCATTTTGATGTTGAGTGCACATATTTTGCAATTAGAGTGCATATAAGTGATTTATTACTTAAACTGAAGCTATCTACAAGCTTAATTTAGCTTTTGACAAGTTTGAGCTAGATCCTTCTTTATTCACTTTTTTGCAATCTTAATATAAAGTTATGTCCTAATCTATCATCAATTGATTTTAGGTTGGATGCGTAACATTGTAGTGAACCTCATGTTGTTTTGTGTTGATCTTCTTTACCACATGTGAGGTTGATGGCCTTGGAGATGTTGTTCTTGAAGAGTTGTCTTGAGTGGTGTTACTATGCATATCTATCAAGTCATGGGTTTCTTGTGATCTTTTATTAAGGGCTAGTTCGCATATGCCATTAAGAACCAGATGTTTTTCAGATGAAAAGTGTTTTTCAAACCTACTTTTCAATCCAAACACAGAAAAAAAATTGGAGAAGTCTTTTTGGATATGAAATTATCAAAATACCCTTTATTGATTCTTCATCTTTCTCAATCAGTTGCACTTTCCAACATATTTATAAAATTGACGTTTTAACTTCCCATAGTAATTTTTGATAACAATGTCAAATATTTGAATTAAAAAATCTTATTTTTACACAATCCTTTTCAACTGCATAATACAAATTGTTTTATACAAGGTAGTTAACAAAACTTATGTCTCTCTGATGTCATGTTTCAGAGGAAGAAAAATAGATGGAAGGAAAAAAAATGGATGGTAATAGAAAAGAGGAGAAAAGCAAATTCAATTTATTTTTACTTCTTGCTATACGAAATTTTAGTAAAACCAATTGGTAATAGGTGAGGGGAGCTAACTTTAGTATTGGAACGCAAGTAACCTAGAACTAAAGAAATGTGGGATAACTTCGAACTAAAGAAATGTGGGATAACTTCACATACTTATTTTCTGTCGTGTTTTGTATTTCCATATGGAGGGAAAATGGTTGGTAGCGAATTTGATATCTAAAATTTTCATAAAATATTTTAATTTGCACTATCCCCTATAAAATAGGTTTCTAGCAATCTATCCATTCAACCCCTCTTCTTTTATTTCTCCATTTGAACTAACTGCATTTTTACTTTAGCTTAGTTCATAATAGTTTGTACCTTGTGCTTTCTTGAATATATGATATGTTCAATAGCTAGGAGTAAAGTAGGAAAGAACCAGAACTCTTAAATCCAATGGTTAAGACTTATAGTTGTTAAGCATCCAACCTAAAATCGGTTGGTAATAGGTGTCAGAAAACCTAATTCATTACAAATGTGTCTCGATTAACAAGAATATTTGCTATTTTTTAGCTCACCAATAGAGTTTGAACCTTTTATTGCTAATGTGCTATCCCTTGTTATCCCCAAAAAATTATTGCTATCCTTTTTCATCTCCCAGGCATAGTGGAAGTGTCCCACTTAATGAAGGCAATGTTTTCAAGTTATATTGCGTGAGTGAAGAGATGAAAGCACAATATGCATGTGTGTGCATGTAGATGGCTCGGTTTATGTACGAAACATTCAAAATTTTCTTTTGTTGAGCCATATGCGTGATTTCCTTATGATCCTAGTTTTGTTGCTGAGTACCCAAATATCGTGTTTCTTGCTAGTGAAGGAAAAGGTAATGAAAAAAAAACATGAAAAATAAAGTACATTAATAGAGAACTTTAGGTGGGCTTTTTTACTCCTATTGTTTTGCAAAAAAAGAGCTAGCCTATATGCATCTAGGTATGCACTTCATTAAATGCATCTTGCCTAAAGGAATCTATTATTCAATAGTATGGATAGGCACAATATTGACAACTCTATTAGAATGTAAAGGACTCGATACTCGAAACTTGAGTCGTAGGTGTTTTTACTCAACATGTAGTAAGGGCTCCTATATAAGTAAATGCAAATTGTTGGTTTTCCATTTGTCTTTCATTGCATTGGCTTCTTTCAAAGTAAGGGATATTATTCCATGCCATGGAGATTTGTTATTTTTTTCCTTCTTTTTCCCCTATTTATCTATTTATGAGAAAAACTGATCAAAAAGGTTGCTAGCATGTGTCACTTATGGAATGGATCTTGAGAAATAATATAGATGTTTACTTTCATGATATTTTATGTTAGGCAGTGAGGGATGTACCGAAGGGGACTAAGAGCACAAAATTGTTATGAATAGCTTATTGGAGACATCTTCATATGTTATTTGGAGGGAATTTATCTCTAAGAGGGTAAAAAGCCATTTGTCTTCATTAGTTATTGAAGTCACTCTTAACCCCTTTCTAGTTTCTATGCTCAAGTGTGTGATCAACCTTGGTGCATTTTATGGAGGAGAAAATATGTTCCTTTCATAATCTTTGCAGATATAGATGTATGATCTGGCTATATGTTTGTATTGTGATTTTTTGTCTATTTTTCATAGTTTTCAAGCTAGTGTTGAGTCTATGTTTGACATCTTCATATTGATGCCTTCTCCCTCATGTTTGTTATTTGCCCTCTTTAACAAGTTTTCTATTTGGTTTTCTTCTTGAATGTGAAAATTGACATGCATAAACATTTTATGCTCGAGAGTAAATCACTAAATCACCACGTACATGGGCTAGAAATCAATCCTATATGTTGGTTGGGCTAATTGTCCAATCACCTCCCAGTGTTCTTGGAAATACATTTTTTATGCAACACTCTGAACATCTGCTCCTTGGCTAGCAGAAACTTATCAAGGTTTTGTTATTGATCCACTGCACCATCTATTCCATACTCTTCTTTGAGTTTACTGCAATATTAGTTTGTCAACCATTTTAAAAGCAGATGTGAAAGAATATCGACCGATATGTCTATGCTATGTGTTTAGTCTTCCAATAAGCCTAAATCTTGCATTGTCCACAAAGATCATGATACCATGCCTGTTTCTCTATAAATGACGCTAATCTAAACAACCACTGATGTACTAAGTGTGTGAAAATGCAATTTTGTGTGTATACATCCATCTGACAAAATGAATATCATGCTGAGAAGTTGTTTGTGCCTTCACAAATTCAACTATTGATTGAATAAGATATGCTTGATCAAGTAACACTGAACCAGTAATTATAATGATTGCCTCTTGGAAGAGTGTACTAACCTACTTGAGGTAGCAAATGGTGGATATTGCTGAATGCATGATAGGATTGTTGCTTTAGAATATGAGCAGAGGGTGGCATCTTACAGTTAGGAAAGACGGTTGTTGGGCAGAAGAAGTAGCGATGGAGTCTTATTGATCATAAACCTGGAGATGCAGTGGAAAGAAAAGCAACTTTAAATTAGTCTGGAGGGAGGTTATGATTCTTGAATTGTAAAGTCACTTCTGAGAATATATGACCACTTATTCACTTAAGGATCCCAATGGGGAAAAGGATACAAGGTGCAATTTAAATAGAGGATAATTTACTTGAAGAATTTTTACTCTTGTAACACCTTCAATAGTTTGATAAAATCACTGTCTGCAACCTTAAAGTACTCGAGGCATCCATTTGGTGGTTTCTGTATTTTCTACTTTGACTTTAAATATTGGTGTGCAACAGATGTCTTGAAGATTTAAGTATGAATGTCTACTGCTGGCTCATTGCTGAAATTTCACTAAGTATGTGTTATTATCTTCTACTCGAAAAAAAAAGGTTATGGTTTCTTCTCATGCTATTCGGTAGAAAATAATGACTGCTGCGGTGGGAAGTCATTTCTATAGTAGACTTGATACTGTCATGGAGACTAAGTGAGCTTTCATGGTTTAGACTTGAAAAGCTTTTTTTCTGATGGTTTCTTGACAAGAAATACTATGATGGTTTTGCTTAAAGGAATATACTCAAGGATTTGGATGGATTTCATTTTTCAGTATGCTGTATAGAAGTCCTAAAAGCTGTGTGTTTAAGCTGAGATCTATGTGTAGATGAAGCTTGAGTTGTTTTTGTGGCATCATTTCTCCTCCTATCTCATAAGGATTGCTGTTGGGAGCAGGCTTTTCACTATTCACCATGACTGGCTTGGATACACTGTTCCATTTTTTTATACATCTATTGGTGTAAATGCTGGAATGCAGGCATTATTCTCCACGAGGTTTAATAGGAGCCCCATGAACCATTTATGCAATACATGTTGCTATCAGCTTACTTCCATCATCGAGTATGTGATGCTTTACTGGCTTTAGAAATTGATCTGCTAGCAATTTCCCGGCACCCTCTAATAGGAAGCTTAATTTGGAATTACTCTTTAATCTTTTTAGGTTAATTAAAACAAAATAGTTTTTGGTAGGTTTATGTTAAGTAGGATGCCTACTTAAATGGAATTAATTTTTTATGCCCTGCCTTGTTGCAAGCAGATTCTTATGCTCTATAATCGGGGATTCTTCTTATTCTTTGTGGCGGAGCAGCTACCTCTTCTTCTTACTTTTAGTGTGGTGTGATGCCAATTACTGACAGAGATCTTAAACTTTACATGAAGTAGGATTCATGATGTAATTTCCGTTGTCTGGCAGCACAATTTTCCATTTTATGATCCTCTATGGGGATCACTTGACAATAAACAAAGTAAAGCCAAATTCTTTCTCTGCTTCTCTTTCTTTCATATTACTCTTACTAAGAAATTTTGAGACCACACTTGGATTGACAAGAATGACAATCGACTACATGTAATGTCGCCTGCACCTTGTCACTGAGACTAAAAACTTCATCTTTCTGCTATTCACCAATGTTTCTTGAACCTTTCACAAAGTGGTTTACTATATGTCTGGTTTGATCATGTTTAGTTCTTCAGAAATAAGCAACCTTTATTCATGAGGTTATTCATGTACGCTTTTGCTAAATTAGTAAATCATATGCCTAAAAGGGCGCTTACTAAAAGGGACACAATGATATGAATGGTTGAGACTGGACTGAATATGTGAACCATTTGCTAACAATTTTCAAACGGGGGATATTTAGTGGAGTAAATTGAAAGCAGTTAATAGAAAATTTACCTGGACTTCGGAAGCAGGATTCATTGCTTGACGATGTTCCTCTTTTACCCTGTTGTAGCGTTCTATAACAGAGTTCATGCTGATGACATAATGAAGAGAAAAAATCAGTTCTCATTTATGTTCGGCATTTATAGTATAACAGTAATTTGTAAATACAAGGTGCGCATCTTTGAAAGGCAATAGCTCTAATTGGAAGGTGTAAATATGAAATAGAGAAAGGATCATAAGGAATTCCTTTCTGCGTTGTGCTTGATTAGTTGCGGCATTATCTTATCCTTGCAAAGAAGCAATCCCTCATCACTTATGGAATAAATAAATATTTTTTTGATAAATTCTAAATCTAATTTTAATTTTACCTAGAGGAGAGGGGAAAGAGAGACTCCAGGAAAAGGAAGTGGAATGAGAACTTATAACCTAAAAGAATAGGAGAATAAAAATGAGCAGCTTAGCCACCTGTTAGATATGCTTGCTCAGTAAATAAATATTTCTAACATGCTTGCTCAGTAAATATATATTTCTAACATGCTTGCTCAATAAATATATATTTCGAACGGAGTTAGTAATAAATTGATTTTTGAACGTCTATCATATAGTTCAGGTCATATCATCCCAATTTTCTATGTTTAAAGTCCTTAATCACCTTGTTTGAGAAAAAACTAAAAAAATATTAACTTTAAATGTAAAAAAAGAGATTAAGTATTTATAATTGATTTTTAAGAAAAAATATTGAATTTATATATATATATTAAAAAAATTCTTAACCTCTTTTTTGCAACCCAATTTTCTGTTAGTAAAATCAAACTAATGCAAATATTGACTATATTTTTGAAGGATTTACTATCTTAAAGAACACATCTTCCGTCTTTGTGGATTGCAAGTTGCATAACTTCCATAAACAATTATCTTTTGATTTTATGTTCAAATTTCGCCATTAGTATTTTAAAAATGCTTTATAACTTAAAGAAAGAGTAAAAATTGGGTGCAAATTTGCAGAAACAATGAGCAATAACCATCCAGTCGAATGAACCTCCTAGCATATTGGAACCATCAACAGCATAATCCATATTCGATGATGGACTGTCCTTTACATTCACAAGTTGAAAATTATTTTATAATCATTAATTTTAAAAATTATTATTGTGAGCAAGCATATTCAACCTGTTGGTCAAGTTACTCATATTTATTCTCTCGCATTCTCTTAAGTTGTATATTCTAGACTCAGTCAGAGTACCCATTAATTTCTCTAGAGTCCCCTTTCTTCTCTCCTATAAATAGGATTAAGATTAAAATTAGGACTTATAAATATCAAGGAGGCTTTTAAATGCCCCCAACTTCAATCATGCTGCAAAATTTTGTACGATCCAAATCTATATACGTATCCTTCAAATTAAATACAATATGCAAATACTTTTCCTATCATATTCCACTTAACTATTAAGATCAAGGTATAAGCTTCTTTAGCATCATCCAATAAAAACCCTTATATAAAAGAATGGAGAAAAGAATGTACGCAAGCATCAACTTCTCCAAGTCGGTAGAAAATGTGGAATTTAAACACCCCACCCAATTATACTTCCACTTTCTTAAGTTTCTTTGTTTTCTCATTTCCAACATATATGGATGGATACATGGATGTATGTGTATAGTCATCTAAATGTAATAGTAAGAATTGCTTTCATTGTTGGATTTCCTAAAATGTCCATAAAATTTGAAAAATTAACCTAATTGATTCAAACGATACCCCTTAAATGTAATATTTAGTAAGTGTGAAACTTGGAGTCACGTTAATTTACACAATGAAATCTTTTATTAAAAGAAAAAGTCTATAAACAATATTCTATGATTCGAACCTTTGTTTCATTCTTGTTTTTCTTTATTTACTCAACTGCTTCTCTTCAAATTAAGGGTAATTTCACAATGAAATTTCATTACAAATAACAGTCAAAATCTAACCATTTGTCTTACAACTTAAGAGAAAGCAAAGTACAAAAGAACAGGAAAAGTGCAGAAACACAATGAGCAAGAACCAAATTAATTAAAAGGTTTATTTGACTTATTTGCTTAATCTAAAAATGTTTGGATGTCTTAAAGTTAAATGATTGGCAACATAACTAATTATTTTGTTATAAAAATTAAAGAAATTTTTAAGAAACAATTAGAATAATAAAAATAAAGAACATAATGCCCTTTGGAGAAAAAAAATACCCAAAAGAATGAATCTGATCAAAAGCATATTGGAACCATCGACAGGATGTTCCATAAAATCTTTTATGTTCCATGATTATAAGAACAAAGTAAAAACTATTTTAAAGAATATGCATTAATTTCCTAAAATAAAAGAATGCATTACTTATAAATATCACGTGGTTAAATAATTTTGCCCGAAAGAATGTTTACTGTTTTTTTAAATACTCTCAACTCAATAATTATGCATGTTAGGGTGAGCGTTCAATCGAGTCGAGTCGAGTAAAAAATTTCGAGTTATTCGAGTTGATGAGTTCTATTTTATAACTCGGAGTTGACTTGAAATTTTTTCGAGTCGAGTCGAATTTTTGAGTTTGTGTTCAAATTTAATTTTCAATATTTATAATATTATGATATTATTAGATTTCAATTTAAACGGTTTTTCATGATCATATATATATATATACATATACATATATAACAATACATTCATGTGTGATTTTTGATAAAAAAAAATACAATACATGTATATTTCTTTCATATGTGAGATACATATATTATACAAAATTGAGGGACCCGACTCAAACTTAAAAATTCATCCACTAATTACTAAAAATTTTGAGTTATTAGAGTTGTAATTTACAACTCGATTTGAACTTGAAATTTTTTCAAGTCGAGTTTATGAAATTATAACTCAAAATCAATCAAGTTGAGTTTTTTCAAATCGAGTCGAAAAAATCGATTTTTCGAATTGAGTTGAGTTTTACTCACCCCTAATACATGCTACAAAATTTATACAATCCAACACAATAAGTATATATATCCTTCAAATTAAACACAATATACAAATGCCTTCTCTATAATTTTTCTCTTAACTACTATAACCAAGATAGATAGATATACATGAACTCTTTCCCATCATCTAAATCGTCACCCTTTTTTTCGGCTACTAATTACCTGGTTTAAAAGAATGGAGAAAAGTATGCTTCCATGCAATGCATTAACCTCTCCAAGCAATGAAAAATGGTGTAATTTATGCAAGAATACACTTACACATTCTTAATTTTCTTTGCATTCTCATCTTCATCCATCCAGCCATATATATATAATAGGGTTAAAAAAGCATGTTTCATTTATTAATATTTATAAATAATTAATTAATTAATACACATGACGGGTTTTTTACTCTATTTGTGGAGTTAAAAAGAACTCTACAATCAATTTTTCAGGTTAAAATGATACAATCCAATATATAAATATATGTATAGGTGCATGTATAGCCCTTGAAAAGAAATAGCAAATGTTTCCATGATGGGGAAATACTAAATACGAAAATAAGTCTAAGTACTCGAGATTTAATTTAATTGGTTCAAACAATCAACCTTAATGATAATAAGTAAAAACTGAGAGATATGAATCCTGGCTAGCATCAATTTCCAACTCCTTCCCATATTCTACGTGACCCCTTTTATACAAATAAATAAATCAAGTCTACAGATGATATTCTAAAATTCCAACATTTGATTCATTCTTCATACCATTTTTTCGTAGTCAATGAATGAAAAAAGTTAAACGAGGACCCAAAATAGCTTCTTTGCAGAAATGCATCAACTACAATAAACAGTTCAATTTTGCTTTTCAATCTTTCAATTGTCTAAAATTGTTAGTATGTATTTAGATTTGTAAAATACTCCAAGGATCACAGCTAAATAAGAGAAGAGAATAGAAGAGGGGAGTTTATTCCGTCAATGTTAATCGTATTTTTTCATTTCTTTTAAAAATATTCTTGTCTAAAATTGATGTGCAACACATATTCCAAATTATAATATGATTCTTTAAATATATGAAGGAAAAAAAACTTCATAATATTAAATATATCCATATCAAATAATTATCCCTATTGAGCACGTATCTTAGACCCAAAGAACATAAATTGTAACTTTTCCTACTTGTCATCATTAAAAGAAACTTGAATGGCTCTTAGATTTTCTTCATTATTTACATAATCTCAAACTTAATATTTGCATGCATGTTGACGCTAATGGAAGGGGGGGGGGGAAGTGGCAAACTCTACTCCATGTTAATTATTAACATTCTAAGAAAGGAAAAGGCGGAGAAAAAGACCCAAACATACGTTATATATACTTATTATTTATGTTTCATTGTAAATCTATACGGCCATCAGTTTTCAGATAACCAAAAAAAATGACTAAGAACTATAAACACATGTATAAGGGAAAAAATGAGATAAAAATATCAATCACTCATCAGATAACAAAATTATTGAATGAATAAATATGTAATAAACAAAAAACAGACCAAATATAAAAAAAATTAAAGAAAGAAATAGAAACTGACCTAGTGCTGGCATAATCATAAAGCTTGCCGGTGCTGGAAAATATGATTAATCCAACTTCAGCATCGCAAAGGATCGATAACTCTCTCGCTTTCTTCAGCAATCCATTTCTTCTCTTTGAGAAAGTCACTTGCCTGCTTGTCAAATTGTCGATTCTTCGAATCACTAGTTTTCCTCTTCCCATTGAAATCTTAGGGTTTTAACTGCCTAGATCTCCCCCGATTTCAGACCTAGAAAATTTCAAATCAATGTCCAATCAAAATACACATAACTGTATGCTAAGAACAACGAAATTAATCGAAAAACAAAAGGTAAAAAATGAAACAAAATAAGATTTCGAGCAGGAAAAAAAAGATTTAGCCACCTACGGATCATATATAGAGACAAAAGCTTACTTGTTTTAAAGCTAATTAGGAAGAAACGCAAGTTTTTTTCGTGTTCTTTTCCTTTTGGAAGAGAAAACTTTCGGGACAGAAAAAAAAAATGAACTGATTGAAAGAGGAAATTGTATTTATGCTCTAAATGGAAAAGCTGTAAGAGGTTTTCAAACATCACATGAAAATCCTCCTTTTAGCGCTTGAGCCCGAAACCGCTTAGCGGTTTCATTTTGTACCTCACTTCTCCTACTCTCGCGAATAAATGGATGACTTCAATACTCGCTTTACTGGAGCGGCATTTGTCGCGGTGAATCAAACCGAAGGACTTCTATTATAAAAGTGCTGTTAAATTTTTAAATACTTTTTAAAAATTAATTTGAAAATATATTTTAAAAATATTTTTTAAATATTTATAATAACTACATACTTTATAAAAATATATAAAATTTAAAATGATTTCTATCTAAAAATTTAACACAATAAGATATAAATTTTTTAAAACTCATAATAAAGTATTAATTATATAAATATTTTTAATAATAATATAAATCTATAAATTATAAAAATAAGGATGAGTCTATCACAATCGACAAACACCGATGAACACCACTAATGATGAGCGTCATTAATTTAATTTGTAAAAATTTAAAATTCTAATCCATTTAACGTATAAGAATGATTATTCTACGCTCGACGAACACCGCTAAGCATCACTAATGATGAGTAACATTAATTTAATTTATAAAAATACAAAATTCTGAAGGACTCGGCGTATAATTATAAATTAGTTAAAATTTTAAAGGTAAATTAGTTAAAATAAAATATTTATTATATTATTTTCCATAATTTTTTTCAATAATCTATATCAGTGATCACCTAACTATTTCCCCTTTTTATTTTGACCACCATTCTTGAAATTTTTTCAATCAGATAATTAAACTATTTAAATGCATTCAATCAAGTTACTTGTCGTTAACAATTAACGTAAGTGGTGACGTAACGATTAATAAAATTTGTATAATTACATGTTTAATCATTATTACTTACACAATCTATCAAATTGGTCATAATTTTGAATTAATTCAATATATTTGATCCTCTAATCATATAACTTCAAAATCTTTTATATTGTCATATTAACAGATGATACACAGTGAATTATAATTTGATGATTTTATCTTGTCAGTTGTCAATTGTCTAATGATTAAATAGATTTTTTTTTAAATTATTTGAATAATATCAATTAATTGTTAGAAGTTCATCAATGATAAAACAAATAATATTTTACTTACTTTTTTAAATAAAATTTAAATATATATTAATAAACATAAAAAATGTAACTCAATCTATATGTATAGATATAAAACAATATTAAATAAAAAAAATCAAAATAATATAAAATATTATAAGTATTGTTACTCGAAAAAATACCACTTGAAACTTGGTTTATTGTATACCTATTGATATCAACAACTACAAAATCATCTCATACATGTTTCGTTGTTGATCCATTGATTTTCTTTTTTTATTTCCCTTATTTATTTATAATTCAAAATGTGAATTTATATGATTGGATGATAATTGTATGTGCATAATTTGTTAATATTTCAATATAAAAGATTTGAAGTTATATGATTGGAGGATAAAATATGTTGAATTAATTTCAAAACATGACCAATTTGATAGATTGTGTAAGTAATAATGACTAAATGTGTAATTATAAAAAATTTATTAATTGCCACGTCAACATTTCCGTTAATTGTTAACGACAAGTGGTTTGATTGGATGTATTTAAATAGTTTAGTGACTTGATTGACAAAATTTCAAAAATAGTGGTCAAAATGAAAAAAAGCAATATTTAGGTGGTTACTATTATTGTTTACCTAAAAAGATAATGAAAAATAATATAATAAATATTTTTATCTTAACTAATTTGTCTTTAAATTTTTAACTAATTTATAATTATACGTTGAGTATTAGAATTTTAAATTTTTATAAATTAAATTAATAGTGATCATCATTAGTGGTGCTCAATCGTGCTCATCGAGCATTGTAGAATTTTCCAAGGTATAATTATAAATTAATTAAAAAATTAAAGTTAAATTACTTAAAAATAAAGGGTAAAGTATACTAGTGACCACCTAACTATTACCCCATTTCATTTTGACCACCATTTTTGAATTTTTTCAATCAACTCAAATCAAATGGTGCCATGTGTCATTGGTTCTAAGTGTAATAACATGTGTCACCATCCGATTAGATGATTAAATATATTTTAATTTAATATATTTTTCTCACCAATCGAGTATCCAAGGGAATCGAACATGGGATTCTTGAGTTGAAGAAACAAGGCTCAACCACTGAACCAAAGTAGTTAATTGGTTCAATTTTTTATTCTTATCTTAGCTTTAAAATATATTTTATTTTAACTGCAAAAGTATATTTTATTTTTGTCTTAACTACAAAAAAATATATTATATTTTTATCTTAAATTTAAAATATTATCATAATAAAATATAAATATTTAAGTTAAGATAATAATAAATTATATTTTTTAATTTAAGATAAGATTAAAATATATATTTTAAATTAAAATAAGAATAAATATATTTTTAGGTTACAAAAATAATAAAATATATTTAATAAGTTAAGATAAAAAAAATTATTTTTTTAATGTTAAGATGTAAAATTAATTGAGAAAATAAGCTTAGTGACCGAAAATTCCTTATAATATACGATTTTGACCAACTTTTTTTCGATTTGCCAAAATGACCAACAAAATCGCAACGCGATTTCCAGTATCGCAAATCAGTTTCCAGATTCGCAACACGATTTTGACTATCGCATTGCGATTTTCCAAATCCGTGTTGCGATTTTGCGAATATGTAAATCGCAACGCGATTCTGACTATCGCAACGCGATTCTGACTGTCGCAACGCTGAATTTCAAATTCGCAACATGTTTTAGTTTCGCAACACAAATGTTTTGGGTATATAACTACGCAGAAGCAATAACTCATAACCTAAATCCCTAAATCGCAACTCATTTCATCTCCATCTATCACTCTCTCCGGCGACATCCGTTCCTATATCCAACGACATCCTTCCCCATCCGGCAACAGGTTTTAGTTTCGCAGCTCGTTTGTTTAGTAAATTAATTTACAATAATGAAATCATCTAATGTTGATCATGTTTGGATAGATTTGTGTTTTGGAGGGTCATGGGAGAATGTTCATGGTGTTTTACAATATATGCCTTTATCCATGAATCTTCAACTAAAACTGTCATTAAAAGAGTTAACTTATGAAACTCTAATATTACGTGTTGCAAATAAATTGAATTTAGAGCCCTTAAGTGGATTTAGGCTATCTTATCAGAGAAAAGGTAAAGTTTATTTGTTAACTGACAATGAAGATGTTGAATGACTCATTGCTTACATTAGTGTTTCGCAAGATGATGTTACATTGTATGTTGTTGAACCTAGAAGTAGTGAAGTTGGGTCAGTAGCTGGTAGTAATCAACTAAGTTTTTCAACCCTAGTTTATGGTGCTCAAAATTTAGTGGTTCCACCAGAATTTCATCACCAAGCAAATTTTGTTTCACCACATTTCCAATACCAAACACAATCTCAAAACCCACAACCTTTCCCTAATCCAAATCTCAGTCAACTTTCAACACCAAATTCCGGTTTTCGTATTGACCAGTTAGACGATGATGAGCCAACAGAAAAAATTGTGAGTACTAGTCAGTATTCAAAATTTGATCGGATTTTGATGATGTTTCAGAAGAAGAAACAGACCTGCGTGTAATGATTTTGATATTGGTCAATACCCGAATTTTGATGATGAAACAGCCGCTGCCGAGGAAGATGTTGTTGATGATAATGAGGAGGAAGTTACGACTGTGAATGAACATGTTGAACATTCATTATGTAATTCATATACCACGGGAGTATAACTGGAATATGCCAGAATTACTTCAGATACCGGAAGAAGAGTTGGTAAAGATAGCAGTTGATTGTTACACAAAAATTATTCGTATCAAGAAAGATGATTGTTTTGATACAAAGGAAGACTTGAAGATAGCTTTGTATACGAAATGTGTGGAAGATGGCTATCAACTAAAAGTTAACAAATCAAGCAAAGATCGTTTCGAAACAAGGTGTATGATTGACAAAAACTGTACGTGGCGTATGATTGCAAAGAGGATAAAAGATTACGAAATGTTTCAGGTTAGGACTTTTATTGATAAACATACATGTTCAAGAACCCAAGTTTTTCCTCACCATAGACAGGCAAACAAAAAGGTGTTGGGTGGTTTTCTGGCTGAGTTAATGTTTTTGAATGACAGGGTATATCGAGGACATGAAATTATGACTGACATGAATGCTCGGTTCAAGATTAGTATCTCATATTCTCAAGCTTGGAGAGCCAAATGTTATGCCTTGGAATTGTTGAGGGGGTCGCCAGAAGCATCGTTTGCCCAACTGCCGGCTTATTGTCATAATTTAAAGCTGAAAAATTATGGGTCGGTAACTCATATCAAAAGAGATAGAGATGGACGCTTTAAGTTGCTGTTTATCGCCATTGGTGCTGCGGTTAGTAAATCAATATAATTTTGTTGACTCATTTTTTTTAGTTACATGCATTTCACATTTAAATGATTATATTTCTTGTGTATATGATTTTGTAGATTCGTTCGTTTATTACTTGCATGCGCCCAGTTATTATAGTTGACGGAGCACATTTAAAAGGTCGATACCTTGGAGTAAACTTATTAGCAGTAGCCATGGATGCTAACAATGGAATACTGCCAATAGCTTACGGGGTTGGCAAATCTGAAACCTCTGATTCATGGACATGGTTTATGGGGCATCTTAGGGATTGCATAGGTCCTATTAGCAATATGACAATCATATCCGATAGGGCAAACTCAATTGACAACGCTGTTAGAAGGTGTTTCCCAGATGCTTTTCATGGACTTTGTGGTATTCATTTGTATAGAAATCTAAAATCAAGGTCTGCTGGTATAAAAAAATCACAAATGGACATACTGGAAGGCTGTAAAAGCTTATCGGGAAGTGAATTTTAATGAGCATATAAATTGTTTAAGACGTGTTTTGCCTCAGTGTGCTCAAACACTAGAAGATGTTGGGTTTGAAATATGGTCAAGAGTACATCAACTTG